CTCCGCCGTCAGAGCCGGGCGCCCGGCCAGCACCCGCTGCCCTCCGCTCCGCCGTCAGAGCCGGGCGCCTGGCCGGCACCCGCTGCCCTACGCTCCACCTTCGGAGCTGGGTAGCGATATATGTACTTGGGGGGAGGGGCGAGGGGAAGGCACAAACAACCACAGACACAAAGAAGGAGGGGCCCAATCAAATATGTTTGAGAACCACTGCTCTAGGCTACACAACCTCTCAGCACAATGACCCTATGATCACAATAAGAATAGTCAGAGGGGAAGATTTTTGCATAAGAATTGTAAATACCATCAGTGGGCCCTGTCCTGACCCGCGCTGGAGCCAAGGGGAATTTTCCCATTTGACACCAGAAAGCCCAGGATTGGAGCCCAATAACCAAGGACAAACGAGTAATTTTACATGAAAATACATTTGCAAAATGCCCACCACACACACTGATTCATTGGCTATCTATCGCTAGGACCGTCATGCAGAAGAGGTCAGTGAAGAATTCTGTCCAAACAGCCCAAAAGGAAGTTACAAATAAATGAGTCAATAGGCAACAAAATAACAATAAAAGTAAAGAACTAGCCCCCCCCCTTTATAAATCTGGCAGGTCCAGACGAACAGCTCCTGCCTGCTTTATCGCCATCCCCGAGTCACAGATGAGATTCTAGCAGCCAAAACTCCTTTAGCGGGGCCAGTATCTGCCAAGAGGAGTTTCACCCCTTGCTGACTCGTCCTCAGTTGAGCTGGGTTAATAACTTTGAAGGCATTTGTGGGGTATCCTGAGCTGGGACCAGAGGAAATTCCTTTCCCAAGGGAGATGGGAACAAGCTGCTTCCTACCAAATTATCTCAGAGACTTTAACTATTGGACCCTGGCTCTCAGCACCAGCTAGAAAAGAAGGGTCCTGAAAATATGATTTAGTGAGGGGTGAAATTCACCCTGTGCAAAGAAGCCTGTGACGGGGCAGCTGCCCCTCACTGGCTGGCAAAGGGTTAATAGCAGCCCTTGGAGTGGCTGTGCAGAACCCAGCCAACCAGAGGAAGGCTTAGAAGCAGCCAATCAGGGCCAGGCTGGGTCCTATAAGAAGGGCTGCAGGGCAGCGAGGGGCTCTGACTCTCCCTGGAGCTTGAGGGAGAAGGCCTGGCTGCCCCATAGAGAGAAGTACCTGGGACAGAGCAGTGCTGGGCAGGGTCAGGGGAGCAAGCGGCGCTCCAGCCTGGCTGGCTCCTGGACTGAGGCCTTGATACAGGGGCCAAGGCGGTGCTGGGGCTATGGGGAAGTGGCCCAGGGAAAGCAGGTAGCGGCAGAGGGGAAGGAGAGGCTGTGAGCGGCTGCCAGTTATAGGGTCCCTGGATTGCCCCCCTCCCCCCTTTGCCCCACTGGCCACCGAGGGATGTGGACAGCCAAAGGACTGCAGTTTGCCCCTGAGCGAGGGGCTGGACTAGGGGCTGCAGTTCACCCGGAAGGGGGGAGACAACGGAGTTGGGGTGCAGCCGGAGGGCCGGGCCCTGAAGAGGACGCCGCAGTCCGGGAGCGACGCGGGTCCCCACAGACAGCGGAGACGGTGGAGAAGCAGCGACGGAGAGTGAGATGCCACAAGAGGAGGGTGCCCTGCTGATGGACAGAGCGAATTCCCGGAGCAACCAGCAGGAGGCACCACGGTGGTGAGCACAACCCGTTACAGAGCCAGACAAGGCCTAGACACCACTTAAGCCCTATAGAAATCCCCCTTGTTCTCCTTTCCCCCATGTGGGATTTTGGTCTCCTGGACCAACGCACCAATCGTTTCACCCTCGCTCCGGCCAGTCCCTTTGGCTGCCATTTCCCCCACAGGTATCAGAGGGGAGCCGTGTTAGTCTGGATCTGTAAAAAGCAACAGAGGGTCCTGTGGCACCTTACAGACTAACAGATGTATTGGAGCATAAGCTTTCATTCACCCACGAAAGCTTATACTCCAATTCGTCTGTTAGTCTTAAAGGTGCCACAGGACTCTCTGTTGCATTTTCCCTTCAGTCGCTTACTTGGCCCAAACCAACGCCCTTCACGCAGTGTCTGTAAGTCAAAAGTTGACGTGAAATGGCTGGATCATGAAAAGTTCATGAAAAGTTTTGTGGAAAAATTGGAAAGGGTCCAGCGGAGGGCAACAAAAATGATTAGGGGGCTGGAGCACATGACTTATGAGGAGAGGCTGAGGGAACTGGGGTTATTTAGTCTGCAGAAGAGAAGAATGAGGGAGGATTTGATAGCTGCTTTCAACTACCTGAAAGGGGGTTCCAAAGAGGATGGAACTCGGCTGTTCTAAGTGGTACCTGATGACAGAACAAGGAGCAATGGTCTCAAGTTGCAGTTGGGGAGGTTTAGGTTGGATTTTAGGAAAAACTTTTTCACTAGGAGGGTGGTGAAGCACTGGAATGGGTTACCTAGGGAGGTGGTGGAATCTCCATCCTTAGAGGTTTTTAAGGTCAGGCTTGACAAAGCCCTGGCTGGGATGATTTAGTTGGGAATTGGTCCTGCTTTGAGCAGGGGGTTGGACTAGATGACCTCCTGAGGTCCCTTCCAACCCTGATATTCTATGATTCACATAACGCCTGCCTCCTGGGCTCCTTTAACAGAGGGATTTGGGGGTGGGGGAAGAGTAGACCCAACATGGGACTCTCTCCACATCCCATCCCCTCCTACTTGTGGTTCTCGGTCAGTTATTCATCCGTAACCTCTGGCTGACCCACCCTACGGACGGTCCGTTTTCTCAAGCACCCCAGCCCAGAGCACGTCTCAGCCACGGTGGGAAGAGAGCAGCACAGGCTGGAGCCGGGAGAGCCAGGGTGTCTTAGTTCCCGCCCCCAGAAGGCGTCTGGGGCGGGGAGGCGGCATCAGCAGGCAGTGCGCGGATCGCTTTTTCTGACAAAATCAGCAGGTGGAGGGAAAGTGCTAGAGAAGACACACTTGGTTGTGAGTAAAGCACTTGACAGAGCATCTCATCAAAACGTATTGTCCCGGCCGACCCAGCGTCAGCAGAGACCATCCCACGGCCTGAACGCTGGCTGAAGAAGTGTTCGCCAAGAGTTCTAACAACAGGCCAAAGTACGGAGCTGGGAGCAAGTGCTCCGCGGGTGCCAAGTCTGTGTTACTGGGAGCTCCAGATTTACGCCATTTCTTCACGAACCACCTAGCAGAGGCAGTAAGAGCCTGTTATTAGGGAAGCAGCATCTGCCCTGCAGAGAGTCAGTGGGAAGGAAAGAATCCAGGAAGCAGGAAACACTGATAGGGACCTGGGGGAAGCACATTAGCCAGGAGCTTCCAGTCCAACATGGCAGCTAAAAAGGCCAAGACACAGAGGCTTTGTGCAGCGGGCAAAGGGGTGACAGCACCCAGCTCTCTGCCTTGGGATAACCCACTGGAGACGGCGGGCTGTTCGGGACTCCTCAGGAGAGCTGGAAAAATACCGATACCCATTCAGAGAAGAGCCACAAAGTGATCTGGGGGCACGAGGGACTGATTGGTGAGGAATAAGCAAAAGAGACAAGTACGTCCAGCTTCGCTGAGCAGTGACCTGACGGGACCCGATAACAAGCCGGGGGAAACATGGGGCGGCCCACGGGAGAGACAGTTTTACAGTAGTGCAAGGTGGGGATAACTGGACGAAATCAAGGCTTAAAGCTGAATGTCAGAAAAAACTTCCCACCCGAGAGATGTTTCAGGCTGTGGAACCCTCTCCCCAGAGCGGTGACACCCCAGAGTTTGGGACACGGACAGAGCACTGGAGGGAACAGACGTGCACTGGCGGGGAGAAGTACTAGATTTTATTAGAAGACTTATTAGTTCTTTTCCAAATCTAACGACTAGGATTCTAGGATAGCCACACGGAGAACGACAAATTTTAACTTTAAAATGACCCTTTTCCTAACTACAAACTAGCAACTAAACCCAAGTCCTTTTATACAAGATGAGAAGTAGTTAGTGTCTATTGGAGTATGCACAGACCTCACAAGGGAGCGAGGGAAGACCCATCACTGGAGACGTTTAACAGTAGGCTGGACATATTCCTAGAACATATAGAGTAGAGACTGACCCTGCATTGGCTAGGAATGGGCAAAATGACCAATACGTCTTTTCCAGCTGTAACTATTCTCCGGCACTGGAGGGTTTTAAGCACAGGTTGGACAAACCCCTGTCAGGGATGGTCTAGATAATACTTAGTCCTGCCGTGAGTGCAGGGGACTGGACTAGATGACCTCTCGAGGTCCCTCCCACCCTACGACTCTGTGATTCGCTGTAAGATCGCTAGGTGGTCTCCGTGAGATGGTCACCTCTCAGGTCAGGGATCAGGCCGTACTCGGTTGCGAAGCCCAGTGCACACTCCTGGTGGGTAAATAGAGTCAGTAAGAGAAGAGAGAGTAAACAGCACTACAGTAATTATTGCTCCAGGGCCTTGCACCTGGAGTTCTCAAGTCCACACTCAATTGAGATTTTCTTTCATTTCCCAGACTGTCACCGGCCCGGCTGGAACAGGCGCCGTCCGTCAGGTCTGTCCAGTAGTTCCACTGAGGAGCTGCTGGCATAAGCCATAACTACAGCGCAGTAGCAAAGCCTCGCCCACCCCCCAAGTACCCACTGGGCCTGACCTAACAACACCACACAGCACAGCACCTCCCACCCTGAGAAATCACTGGCCTTCGCCAGAACAACGCTGCTATGTTTGCTCCACACAGGAACCGGGCTGGAGAGTCCTGCCAGCACCGACCTCTCCTCTCAGTAGTAAGATGAAGATCCCACATCGGTTAACCCAGGCCGTGTCATTTCCAAGCGCTGCTCCATAAACCACAGGTCCCTTCCCAGAAATCTCCCATCCCCCGTGTCAGACGTTCTCTCTAGCACCTCTGGGGGTATTTCCCACCCAGCAAATGGAATTAGTACAACACCTTTGGCATCCTTCAGGGCACGACTCGAGCCTGCGTTTGCATTTGAATTGGAGCTGCGTTGTGTGGGGAATGTGCAGTGGGTTTTCCTTAGGGATGCACGGTTGGTTCGTCAGCGCAGGCCTTCAGCCTGGTTGCTCCCTGTGGCAGGGAGCCGGTTATTTCATCAGCACACTGTACAGCACCACTGCATGTCCAAATCCTAAATTACAGCATTGTTCCTCCTCTGCTCCTGCTCAGGGGACGTAGCATTTCTGTAACTCCCGCCTTAGGTACAGGGCGTTACGGCTTCCAGAGGCACTTGGCTTGGGGCACAGACAGTAGGAGCGGGTGCATCTGGAGGAAGGGGTTGAACGACTCCCCGTCTCCGTAGCAGGACAAGAGTCTCTCCTCCGTGTGGACGGCCTGGTGCACCGTCAGCTCCTTCTTGTGGCTGAAGATCTTCCCGCACTCGGTGCAGGGGTAGACCCGCTCCACCGTGTGGGTGAGGTGATGTGTCCGCAGGTTGCCCTTGTACTTGAAGCTCTTGCCGCACTCCACGCAGGTGAAGGGCCGCTCCCCCGTGTGGATCCGCTTGTGCTTCATCAGTGTGGTCTTCAGGTTGAAGGTCTTGCCGCACTCGGCGCAGACGAAGGGGCGCTCCCCGGTGTGGATGCGCTGGTGGGTGATGAGGGTGCCCTTGCGGTTGAAGCTCTTGCCGCACTCGGTGCAGGTGAAGGGCTTCTCGCCGGTGTGGATGCGCTGGTGCAGGATGAAGGTCTGCTTGGAGCAGAAGCTCTTCCCGCACACGTTGCATTCGAAGGGCTTCTCGCCCGTGTGAATGCGCTGGTGTCGCATCAGGTCGCCCTTCTGGCTGAAGCTCTTGCCGCACTCGGTGCAAGTGAAGGGCTTCTCACCCGTGTGCACCCGCAGGTGAGTGATGAGGTT